ATACAGCATAATAAACGGTATCACATGAAAGGACAGCTCAATAGCTTTCATTTGAATGGTCACAAACTAGGATTTCACCCACATACTTAGAAGTTAGAATCGCCTTGTACAGCATAACAAACAGTACCACATGGAAGTACTGCTCAATAGCGTTCATTTGAAAGGTCACATACTAGGGTTTCATCCACAGACTTAAAAGTTTGAACCACCTTCTACAGCATAATAAACAGTACCACATGAAAGTACTCAGTAGCTTTTGTTTGAATGGTCACACACTAGGGTTTTATCCACAGACTTTAAAGTTAGAACCACCTTGTTCAGCGTAACAAAGAGTGTCACATGAAAGACCTGCTCAATAGCTTTCATTTGAACGGTCACAGATTTGTAGTCAATATTTGTTGCCATTTACCTGAGTGTGTAACGGTACAGTCTTTTGATCTATTTATAGTTCCTAGCAAAGTTTTGAAAAGAAAGTCACTGAGTGCAAGTGGACAGAAACGACGTTCTCTTCTCCCTACCCCTCTGGGTAGCAGAATAACTAGATCCCAGTCCCAAAGGTCTAGACAAACAAGTGTCAACTGTGAGGTTAAAGGTGCCCTTCCTTTCAATTTATCACCATCTGCTGAGATCAAGCCAAAGACTGCTGCAGCATCCACGTCACAAGCTGATATCACTCTTGAGCAATCATGCCCAAGCTTGAGATTCTCAGATCCATTTTCTCCTGCTAGCCAGACTGTTACTGTTGATCCAATTGAGAATTATGGCACTGGTGATTCAGTTGTAAGAAACCTTATCGAGTTGTCACCCATGCCTGCTGAGGTAAGTCACAAACCATAAGTTAAAATATAATTAACTCAATTCAGACTTGTTGTTCACACTAGTGTATAAGCACATCTCAATATAAGCTTGAATTCTAACCACCTTCCCAATACATGTAAGTTCTGTATCATAGGGCTGATAATACTGCATTATTTTGTTACTTATCCTACCTAGCGTCTTTTCAGAAGGTTTCCACAAAAAGAGACTTAATATCGAACATTTGGTTTTGTACTTGTAACTGATGTTGTGTGGTATATTATTGTTTATAAATGTGCATGATCATCAATCGAACATTGATTTAACCTGACAGAAATGATGGGGTAAACTATGATAGAGTGAGGACTGGGTCGTGGCAATAATCCTAGGTTCCACGCACTATATGAATCAACAGGATTGAAACAGACTTACAGGAGCTTCAAGAGCCCATTTTTGGTTGAGTTTAGAAAGTTTGATTTGATTTGGTTGGCTTAAAAACTTGTGTCGCTTTGTTGTCCAATCAGACACAAAACCAATATTGTGACTCACTTGCAATGGCTTTTCTGCACTTCATGTTCACCTCATCTATTTTCTTGGAGTTTTAACTGGTTTAGACTTAAATACCAAGATATTGCTCCTGTAACCTTGTATTTTGTTTCTCTTTTTTTTTTCTAACATTTTCATGTCCTTAATATCCTTGTAGGGGACTCTAATAGACATCTGAAACCTACATTGAATACATGTAGCTCAGTGGTGGAGAGGCTGTTGCTGAAAGAATAAACTCCAAAATTTATCACAATAATACAGGGAAAAACCCCATTGTTATTTCAATGATTGTAAAAAAATACTGTATATGAAAGTGTTACACAGTGTTATGTGGGTAATTTTTTAAGGTCTAAGAAGTGGACTTTCCCTCTAGAGAAATATTTTTGAGATATCACGCATTTCCAGGGCTTGAAAATAGTGCTCTCTGGTTGTGTGGGACAAACACAAACATGTAGCTTTTCCTGCTAGGCAAGTAACGTTTAATTCTCACTTGCCCAATGGGCAAGGACCCAGGCAAGTTGTCTTTCAACTAAATAAAAAAGTGAACTGAGACTTGCCCAGGGCAAGCAAAATTTGAGAGCGGCTTGTCCGAAGGGCAAGCAAGAATTCAAGTTTTTTTTGAGCCTTGATTTTCTTACATGTATGTAGTTGTTATCACTTAGCGATGACATTCAGAAACAATAGCACAAAAATTAAAATTTATATATGTAATTACTGTTAGTAATAATATTGTTTGAAGTGTAACAATTACGCAATATTTAGAGCGTGTTTCTGTATTTACATAACCACATCTAAACACAGGGGGAGTTTGGGAAAATTCAAGACAGCTATGCAAACCCAAGATCCAGTCTAGAGTTTGCATAACTTTTAAGAATTCTCTCAACCCCCACGTGTTTAGATGAGCTATGTAAACATGGAAAAGTACTCTTACTATTGCTGTTATAAAATTAATATTAATTTCTCTAAAATACTTGCAAATCTAAAACGTCACAACTGTGTTTACATACTCTCATCTTAACTCACCTATCGACCAATGAGACTGTGTGTATTATCTCATGTATTTTATAAATCATGCTAATGCCATCAGACTGCAAAACAGTCTACTTTCATATTTTATTGTGTGGATGTGGGAAGAGAGGTAGCCTGGAGTATAGTTGTGTGGAAAAAGTGACTATGCCTGATGTTGGCAACCTTATTCATAGGGTCTTCTCCCCCTTCCCTTCCACTGCCTCTTATCCCAGGGGTTTCCCTTTCCTTCTCCCACTTCAAGAGGTTCGCTCTCCCCCTCCTCTCTCATTCCAGGAGAAGTGAAGATGTAAGACCCTTACCCAGTAATCTTGGGGCTAGTGCAAATGACTTTCAGGCTAGTGCACCATACATTGTAGTTTGCATCCTGACTAGGCTTAACTCAAACCCGTATTCAATGCAACTGTCTGCAAGGCCTGCATATGTGACCTTTGGTTGATCTGAGCACAATTTAGCCTGTTGATTGTCTTTTTAAGCTCACAAAGAAGTTGTCAATTCTAATAATATCACTAGCATTCCTTGCCTTTATTTAACAAATAAAGAAGCCTAAGCCGTGTACTACACTGATAAAACACAACAGGTATTTGAGAACACGAGGGAAATGTAGAAAACACAAGCTGCAGGTGAGTGGTTTCTATATTTCTTGAGTGTTCTCAAATGTAAGGAGTGTTTTATCACAATGTAATACACGGCTTAAGCTTCTTCATTTGCTTTATGATATAGATTTCACACGCCGCGAATAGAAACAGCAAAGCACACAGATTGACAAACTGATCCGATTTACTACCACTAAAGTTCAATGGCCATCTCTAACAAAATGTTGGCTAGAAGTAATGTGGTGAAAAACAATAAAACATAATTTTTGTATGTTTTATACTCTGATAAAACACAGGTTTTTGACCAATCAGAGGGTGCGCAGGGTCCTATCTATATTATAATGTAAAATATAAATCAGGATGGGGAGGGAATAGGTACCATTCTAGAATATACTGTGAAATTTCTTTATCTAGCTTTCATTGGCATGTTAGTGGTCATGGATATTAGGAAATGAATATTGTTGATGCACTTTGCTTATTGTGGTGGCCATTTTGAACTTTAAATGTGTGGTCAGCTAGTGCAATGTGTCTGTAATGTTATTTCTTTTCTAAATTATCTGATCTGATGGCTATCAAGTTTGAGGTTACTGGTATTTCGCATCTGTCTGTGAGATTAAATAGCGAGAAAATGCTGTATGGCCTCCAATTATAATGGACTTAGATGGGATGAATCTGGTGTATTTTAAATTGTAATGTACAGACATGACAAACAAACCTTGACAAGCCAGTCATTTATCAATTAGTTGACTAGACTGACTTAGAAATAGTGAAATTCTCACCTATAATCAGGGGTTTCATAAACTTTTTCAGTGGGAGGGCAACTGATTATCACAGGTGAACAAAACTTTTCAAACTGAATTTGTTTATAAAGAAAACTTTCCTCTACAAGGTCAAGGCAGGCTGGCAAAATCATACAGTTGGTCACTTTGCCTGGTGCCTGGCACTTAATGAAACCCCCTGCCCATAATAAAATAGATTATTTTCTAGTCTGTTTAATTTACTCTAGATCCACTCAAATACAACAGACAGTTAATTTCAGTCCAGGGAAATGCTTTTATCAAATGCTTTGCTGCAAACATACAGTATCAATGGGCTACTTTACCTCATTTTGGTTAATAACCTCAGAACTAAGCAAGTTCATTGTTAAAACTGGTTTGCACTGATTCCTTGATCATACATCTAGATTTAGTAACAATTGTTTGGTAATGTTACCACATGAACCTTTGAACTTCTTTAGGGCTATGAGCCCAATGGAATGGCTTCTTTAAAAACAAGTAAAAGGTCGCTGCATTCACAGCAGTATACAATACNGAACCTTTGAACTTCTTTAGGGTTATGAGCCCAATGGAATGGCTTCTTTAAAAACAAGTAAAAGGTCGCTGCATTCACAGCAGTATACAATACACATTCCAATACCAGCCTTGTGTATGATGCAAGTGGAATATGAAGACGATACAAGATATATGGAATGATAAAGTAGCGGAATTCTATAAGCTTTTGTGGAACAGTAACTATGGCAACACAGATATAAAACATAACTAGCCACAGTCTATGTTGTTTTACAGATAACTGTCTATGGATACAGAATGCCGCAAACATATACAACGGCACCATAGCATATTTTACCAACCAATGTTTTGCATAAACTTTACGCCAAATGTAAAATGGGTAGTGGCGATTGTCAGCAAGCAGATATTCATGTATATAAGTAAATTTATAAATAGCTAAAACCATTATAATTGCTACTAACAGTAATGCTAGGATATACAATGGTCTTTTGATAGTACTTTTGACAATTTTGAGATAACTTACAATGTCTTCAGGAAAGACTAGCAGTGAACTGCTAAAAGCTAGCGTAAACACCAGCAAATAACACAGTTGAGGGAAATTCAAGCACGCTTGATGCTGAGTTTTGTCACCAACTACAATCCCACCATTCATTACCACAAATACAACAAAGCCTACAACAACCAAACCATAGGCCCACAGGCATTTAAATACCATGAAAACGTTCTTTAAAAAAGCCATGGCATACTCCTTTAATTCTGTGACCAAACTTGATGAGTCAGTTTTCTTGACGTTTTGTTGCAAAGTTCTTAATGCGGTAACCCCAGCAGTGAAGACCACCCATATCACATTAGTCTGACGTATGACAATTGACGCCGCACCAGTCACAGCTGCAGTGAAATGGTTTTCATGCAGGCCAAGGTAATACTGGAGCAGAACAAAGAATATAGAGCTTGAATCAGTGTAATACAGAAACGTAAAGAAGTAGAGCACTGGGAATATTGCCAAGACCAGAGCAGTGACAGAGCATTTTGTGGTTAGACTCTCATCCCCTGTGGGTTTTTCTCCCTACAAAAACAGAAAAATGTATACAATCATATGAGTGTTTCATGCACATTTAAATGAACATATATGTGCTACTGTAGAACTAGCATCCTGTATTTTATTAAAATAGAGGGTGAAAGAAGTTAAGTCTGCATACAAGCCAAGTGGCACATCAGGCTAGCACTTATCTCTGGTTTCTACGTAGCATGAAGCTACCAGGGGGATTTCTTCTCCCCCCTGGATGGGATGCTAGTCCATTGCAGGGTTATCACCCAGTATTAAATTTGCCAGAACTGATTATACATATGGGAGCGGGGAGGCACTGTGAGTGAAGTGTCTTGCCCAAGAACACTACACAATGTCCCCAGACAGTCTGTTCAATCTGGAGTCAAAGCATGTCTTCTGGATTGGGTTTCACAATTGCTACCTGGTAATATTTGACAACTGTCAGTAACATGAAAATAATACAAATTGTGGTATCCTTGTTTGGGAGTGGTGGTTGCAAAAATATCTATACCCACTCAAAGGAGGGTTACAAAAGATTCCCATAGTGAGAGGTCTCAAAAACCAAATTTTTACAGCAAAGTAAGAACCAAAACTTGAATTTCCAAAGCGATGGGTGAGGTGTTCAAACCAAACAACCCTCAATGGGAGAATGGATATTTTGTGGAACAGCAAATTTGCAAACAAATGGAATCAATCAATGATCTTCGTCTAACAACTTAATCCACCCTCCCCCCCTCCCATGAAAACCAGTGATGTGCATTCATATTTATAAGTGTTAAAATGCCAATGATATCTTTCATTCCATAAATTTCATACAACAAAAAGATTTTTGTGACAATCACAAAATTAGCATTAAAAGAAGTTGATGACATTAATACGCTTATCTCAACGGTAAAAGATCAACTGACCTTGTGAGGTTGATTCTTATCACAGTGCAGTTTAACGAGTATCTGTCTTAGGAGCAACACATTACCCATGAAGAACAGAACATTGATCATACGCAGGAAAAACGTCGTACACACTACATCCAATTCATGACCGAGGGCAAAGGCCAGGGCACGGAGACATGCGAAGGAGATGAAATACAAGCCTGGTAGGGTGGTTATTTTCGGATCCCACTCGTCAAACTTATAATCGCAGTATTTCTGAGCTTGAGGGACGTGGAAAATCTCATCCATATATGGTTCTCGTTGTTTGGTGTTGAACTGAATGAAAATAACCATAGAAATTGCAAACAAACTGGAGTAAAAGGAGAAGAACGAGAACGCCGCCATCTTGGAAGGAAAGAACTGGCACTAAAGCATGGTGGGATTGTCAAGTACATTTGGAGTCAAGGGGAGGGGAGGGTCAGTGTTAGCGGCTGTTGTTGAGGTCTGGCTTTCTTCTCTTGATCCAAACTCGTGGGAAAATTTTACATCAACTCTACTGGGGTGCGTCTTAATTGTTGGCCGGTGGAAAATGTGGACGTGGAAGAGGGAGGGATATATTCTCCGGATTCAGAAAGCGTAATTCCAAGAAAGTATTCATATCTAGGTCCGGGCGAAGTGGCTGCTGATGTCTGAAGAACTTCATA